CTCTGGCTCCTGCTCCTCTTTTTTTTTTTTTTTTTTCTTTCTTTCTTTCTCTCCCTGTTTGCCCCTCTCCATCCCAGTCACTTCTACTGCTTTGTTGCACCCGGTTGATGCAGAAGGCATACCTTCTGCAGCTGAACGTGGCTATCGTAACAGAATTGTTCCCAGCTCTCAGGATGGTGCATGTACACCTCTTGCAAAATGTAGCATTTTGGGAACTAAGCTGATGCAAATCACACGTAACTACTCAAAGGTTTAAATACTGGTGTAATTCAGATGGTGGGTGTAGCCTGAGAAAAGGCTATGTTGAATCCAAACACCTCCAGATACCTGAATTAAAGTTCTGCTTTAAAAACAAGATGGCACTCCAGCACTTTGCTGTAACACAATGCTCGTGATCTGTTTTTTTACTATAGACAAAAAAAAATTTTTTTTTTTTTTATCTTTCTCAGAGGTGAATCATTTTCACTGAAATATAAAGAAGTCTAGGGATGCATTCTTTTCCACATTGGGTATCTGCCTAATAGAGGAAGCTTAGTAAGCTTAAAAGAAAGACAAGACTAATAGTAGAAAACCTTAAGCAAGCCTTATGACTGGAGTTACCTTAAATACAGAATGCCCAACAGAGGCAGCCTCACCACTGGGATTCTTCTATTGCTCCTGCATAAACCTTGAGCTAGGAGAACAAACTTTGCAAAACAAATTAGAGTGAGTGATATTGTCCCAAATACAATTACTGTAATTCAGAGCTGATTCACTGTAGATCAGAAAGCATCCCAAGTACAGTGCTTCTCAGTATGTAAACAGATTCACTCCTTTATAATTACTGTCGTCTCTTCTAAGTAACAGTGTGGGAGCAGACTGAGCTACAAAAGACCTTTAAAATCTTTGATACTGCAAGTGATGATGCTCTGAAAAACTGGTAGGGAACAACCACATGGTCTGCTTGCTTCTTGATGACAGTATTTGGCCAAGTGGTATGTTGTGCTTCCAGACTCTTTCAACAGTCAAAAGCAGCTTCTTATAAAATGTATAAATATCTGGAGATTCCTTCCCAAGGCAAATTGTGGTTTCCGCCACCGCTTTGATTGAGCTTTCTTCTTTCTGGCTCATCTTGTTCTTCTGGTGCAAAGGATGAGAGGTTTTGCTGCTCCGAGAGCTTGGGTGTGCCTTTCTCGCCAACACTTCTGGTCCGCCAAAAGCAGAAGACAGTCCATCTCATGATCCATGGCATAAGCTGGTCATTTGCCTGCTGTTGCCACGAAGGTGAAATCCAAGCTTTTGAGCTTTTTGTTTGCACTTCTTTCTTTCTCCTTCCACCTGTAGCCCAGAGAGCTGGCTGTGTGAAGGTGGGCCAGGTGTTTGTGCTGGGAGGGAGGAGTATTTTGTTGTTAGTTGCGGTGCCTGCCTAAAGCTGTCAACGCTCCCTGTCAGTCCGCAGTCCACCGTGCCTGCTCGCACCAGCTCAACTCTGCATTTTACTCTTTGCTGCTTTCCCTGCAGATACTTTCTGGGACATCTGTGGGTGCTGCTCTGGAGTTTTGCTTCTAAGCGAAGCCTTAACTTGTAACTGACTCTAATGCAAACTCACTTGCATGTGTCCCCCCAAACTACTGCTTGATTTTGATAGAATCAAATTCCTTGCCTGGATTCTCCTGTCCTCGCTAGCTGCCAACATTTTGCTTTCTGACACGGGAGATGCATTCTTCCTTCCTCTGAAATGGTACGGGGCTTCAGTGCATGGGTTTCTTAAGTTGTAGAGGTGTAAAATTTTCTTGGCAAACTGACGGTTTTTGCATTTAAATGCCAGCGCCCAAACAAATGCTTTGTCTTTCCTGTAATGCCTTATTTAATCAAGTTCAGAATAAACTGGATTAACTCTTTGTATTTACATTAACAGTAAAAATCTGCTGGAAGCTAAAATACTGCAGCTGTTCTTCACAGACCGAGACTATGCAGTAATAATAAAAAGTATGTTTGTCTTGTTGCTTACATATATTATTTTTTTTGCCATGGTTTGATATTTCACAACAGAACGAGGAAAGCTGTGTAAATACCTTATTTAAACTTAAAAGAGAAAATGCATATGGTTGCTTACTTGACCTGGGGAAAAAAACAAACCTAAAAAAAAAAAAAAAAATCACACCACCCTCTCAGTGTTTGTGAGGTACCTCAACTGTGTGTATAGCAAATGTGTATGAGGAAACAGCCGTTTGCATTCTTTTAGCTTTTTTTGGTTTTTTTTAAACAGAAAGACAAAATTAAATCCCAAAGTTGTGAGTAGCTGTATACATTCTTCAGTGAAATGGCCTTAGCTTCCATTACAACGCCTAGGGTAGCGGAAGCAGGGGGCAGGCAGTAAACAGATGTTGAAAATACGTGTCTCTGTCTGTAACAAAAGCAAATTAAACTTCTTGTCGGGCTTGAGAAAACCTTCAGAACAAGTGCTTTCAGAGTTGACAGATGAAGGTTAAATCAATAAGCAATTAATCACATTCGTCACTTTTTCTGTATTAAGGCAGACACAGTAGGACATAGTTGTTGGGGTTTTTGTTCTTAAATAGCTTTGTTTATTTTAGTCCATAGCAGGCATAGGCACTCAGGCTCTGGACAGACATCCATGGGATTTAGCTGTGCTTTTGCAATTGTAAAGCGATTTCCAGTGTGGAAATGTGGATTGCCTTGCACAAGGGACATACCGAAAGCTTATTAGTTAATGACTGTAAATAGTCTACACAGCCTTGCTCCACATATGCTAAAGTGGGACAGGACTAATTAAGCAAGTAAAGTTACTACTTATTTTTAAATGACGAAGTAATTTGATTATGGCTGTTATGCAACAAATTCCAAATAAATCTAACAACCCCCTACCAGATTAAGGTGCTAACTTAGCAGTGCAGGATGTACCCTTCATGGGACAGACTGTAACACCTGACTTGGTTTAACTGTTTTATACGAATCAAACGTCCCAGAAGCTGCATTTCACGCTATACATACATTCTTCCCTAACCTAAATCATGTTGCTATGTTGATTTTGGTTTACATAGGTTCAATATTCATGATTCAGATTAAAACTGGACTCTAGTAGTACAATCACACTAACATGCTTCTGCTTGCATACTTCAGTTCAAAAGAAATTAGACGTACAACTAGACGAGCCCTTTTTTTAATGTCAGTTTAAATAGTGGGATGCTAATTTCTGTGTGCTCTCAATGCGTCAGTGCTTTACACCCCTTTGAATTGCTTCTTGCTGTGCTACTACAGGCATCGTTCTAAGACCTAGAATATAATTTTCTTCAACCAGAAGCCATGTTTCTTTATCAGCTGCTAAAGTTGTTTGGCAAATAGCATTCCTTTTGTCCCTGCTTCTTCCAGTGTTGATGGAGGGAGAGCTGTTACAGTTTGCTGTAAGCTGGTAACCTAGTTACTGAAACTAGGGATGATTAAAGGTTATCTTTTAATATTTCTTTTAGAAAAGGAAGCGATATGAAGTAAAACTTAGCCAGTCATACTTGGATGAAAGTTGACTTTGCATCTCAGATTTATGGGCAACAACTTGTTTCCCCTTCTGTAGACTTCTTAGTGTTAAATTTGCAATGATTAAAAAAAAAGAAAAATCTTACAGTAGCCTTTACTGTTTGGAACAGAAAACTGTTGTATCTTCTGTTCTGAACTTCTGCCCTACACTAATACTGTTCTGCATGTCCTGGCTATCAAGAATCCTGTTGTGACTGGATGTCACGAACTTGCAGGTTTTAGTTAGAGTACCTGATGTGATACCGTCTCTGCAGACACCAAAAGAGACAGCAAACACTTCCCTTACACCAGCAGCAACTTTAAATTCATGGCTCGATAGGGAATAGGAATAGCACCTCTTTCCTAGGGTGGTTAAGAAAAGCTTACAAGTGAAGCACTGTATCTGCCAGCCCCTAAGCTTGCTCTCCAGTGTCTTCTCTTTGTGTGTTATAAAACACAAGAGTTGGCACTGGAAACTAGTCCCAGCAATGCAGACAGCGACACGGACAAAACTACTGCCTTCTAGATTACCTGCTTCCTAGGATATTAGGGTGCCTGTACTTCTCTCAGTTTCTAAAGGACCTTTACTTTCTTAATTTGAATTCCAGGCAATGGTGTAGTCTGACTTGCCTTTCCTCCCCCACTTTCCAAAAACCAACCAACCAACCAACCAAAATCCTCCCAGAATTCCCAACCACTCTTAGTAGTTGGCTACTTCCCATTACAGCAAGAGCGTTAAGAAAGAAATCAGTTTGTCAGACACTGTTAAAATTGGTCTATTTGGAAGTGAATGCCCTTTCTGCCATGGGATACGTAACATGCACGGTGACCTCCACTGAGGTATGAAATCAGTGCATGTGTACTCTGGTCAAAGAAAGTAGTTCATAAGAATATTTATTGTATTAGCATTTATTTTTTTGAGACAACAGAAAAATCTGTATTAAAAAAAAATTGTTAACAGGCCAGGAAAGAGCTTCAGCAAAAGATCTATAAATCAGTGAAAGCCATTTTTTGGCTCAGATCTCGTTTTTGATATTTCCCTAAGACCTTGTTTCTGTGACTAGATATGACCCTTGGTAGGTTATTTTATAACAGGGCATCTTAGACATACCCTCATATTGGACCAGAACACTAGCAATTCATCTTAAGTGCTTAGGAAAGAATAACAGAACTGTACTGTCCCAGATAGTCTTCTAATACCCAATTCTTTTTCATGCTTGGTAGGTGCCATTTTAACTCATGTGTGCTTCAGAAGTATTTTAATCTAAAAAAAGCCCAACCAAACAAGAAAAAATAACAAACCCACAAACCAACAACAAACCAAAACAAGAATACTGTGAAGACTGAAGAGATCTAGAGCTAACTGCTGAACTCATTTGGTAGAAATGGCTGAAATCAAACCAGACGTACATTAGTATACATTTCTTGTCAGCAGAACTGCTGATCAGAAAGCAGGAAAGTCCAGTGTGCAATAGGGTCCTCCACTGTTAGAAGCTCCCTGACATTTCTATATAGCCATTAGATTTCTGAAGAAAGGAGTTAGGCTGAGAAATCTTTTTCCAGAAGTACTTTTTCTTGGAGGACCTCCAATTTGGACAAGCAGCTTCCAACACAGGAAAGGTACAGGACTACCAAGGACTACATGGATCTGGGCATTCCCGCAGGTAAGTCTCTGTATGACCATTATCCACCTCCATCAGCGTTGTGCACACAGTCAGCTAACAGGCAGGTGGCAGGAAGAAGAAGGAAAAAGGGGGGGGGGGGGGGGAAAAAAAAAAGAAAAAAACTCGGGGGGGGGGGGAGAGAAAAAAAAAAGATAAAACCTCATTACAGTAATTAGTGAAAAACTGTCTCTGATACTAGCTGAACAGTTCAACTAAAATGAGCACTTATCAACAACATGGAAGCATGAATAGCTTGTGTCCTCAGCCAAGAATGCTGCCTCTACTCAATGTAGTAACTGAATTTCTCATTCAAAAACTCTTCTCTCCCCTTTAGTTTGTTTTTTTAAAACACCAAAACCTCGAGTTCAGACTAAAACATCTTCTGTTGCACGAAGAATGTGACTGCAGTATGTGTAAACCATGAGGTTTATTAACTTGTTTCATGCTACTTATAAGGGCATGTATCACAGGTTAATTCAGGTTAGAAGGGTCCTCAAGATGTCTGTAGTGCAAATGCTACCTCAAACCAGAGCCAGCTATGAGGAAAGGGCTCAGGCTACTCAGAGCTGTAAAGCTGTAGGGTCTTTGGAAAACAGCTACTCCAGCAATTACATTTTGCTTTTACAAAGCAACATGGAATTAATTTTTTTTACGTGCATGTTTTCACCTCAAAGCCTCCTGAATGTACCACTGTGACCTCCTCCTTACATGTACAGTAGTTAGTGGTCTGCCCGCCCCCCCCCAAACTTTCTGCAAAAATAGAAGCATTACCTTATTGAGGACAGGCTTTGTGGAGAGAACATCATAAATCGCTGGTAAGGAGATGTTCTGAAAGAGAGCAATACATTGATGTTCATGGACATTAAGCTGTTAGCGTAAATGCTGAGAACTTTAACTTTTTACTGCTCAATTAGGTAATAAAATGAAGCTTTAAGAGTACATCTTGAGATCAGAAGAACATGTGTTGCAAAAACTTGAGCAGACCAGATCTCAGTACAGCATGGGACACTTGACTGTCAGTGCTTGCTGCCTGACTGTGTTATGCTGGAATTTCACTGGTGATAAAATAGCTCAGGAAACAATGAAAATCTCTCTCAAAGTATCTCCAGGTTTATCCCCCTGCACATGCAGCCGCAGAAAATGCTTGCAGGAAACCCACCTAGATGAAGAGAAAGCCTAAAACTAAAAAAAATTCATGTAAAGAGCCACCTGGTACTTCATTACTCAGAAGCACAGAGAAATTGTCACAAAATTGTTAGCCACTTCTGTCATTACAGCTGTGCTTGCAAATGCCCTGAATGGCCCTGGCTGTGTCAGATGAGTACTGTAACTTGGGAGTTGCAAAACGGCAAGATGAGGTATTCGGAGGATGTTTACCTCTTGCGTTGTCTGGTTCAGGCATTTCATTGCAGGTGTTCTACGATTATCCAAGATTAGCGGAGGCTTCCAGCGATCGTAGTTTGTTTCTAACACGTACCACGTGCCTTTCTTGATATCAAGGCTGGAAAAGAGGTATGTGTTTGTGTTTTGCTTCTCTAAGTAAGTACTACATAGAGCCAGATTTTTTTTTTTTTTCAGGCTTGCTATGGTATTTTTCTGTGATGCTAACAAAGTGAGTTACGGCACAACAGAAGTCACAAGAAACACAGGACACAATTATTGGTGGAACCTGTCCTCTTCTGGAAGGCTGAGTCAAGTGTCAAGTCAAGCATACTCACTCCCAGATATCCAGAGTGGCTGTCCTGGAACGAGTTATCACACACCCTTCTCCAGAATTTTTTCCACCCAGTATAAAGTAAGCTGGAGCCAGCAGTCTTGTATTTGCCAGTTTGTCTTTTGCATCCTGGTAACTGCAGATAACAAAGCAGTTGGACTATTAAACGCTATAAATGGTTCAGGTACTGAAGAATGAGTTTCACAGACCCAGGAAAAGTTTGGGTAGTTACACATGTCCTCCCCTTTCATGCACATATGAGGAGATTGTATCACAGTGAAGGAATACATTTAAGCAGAGTTCCTCCGGTCACTTTGTACTTAAAGTATGGTTGTTGAGAGGTGCTCTTTGCACCTGTTCTACATTTAAAATGGGAATAAAATGATGACATGCTGTGTCATATTCTGCCTAATTAATTTACTGCACGAGAGCTTTGTTTCTGCTCACGTCCTATAATATACTACTACCTGTTGGATGTGTTTTGATGCAGAATGCTATTACACATTGAGATACCAATCAGTTAATTAGAAAAAAAAAATCTGAGAAAACAATTTGAGGAGTTTTAAGGGATCATGTGTGATACCTCCCCCCACCCCAACCCAGAGTACCAGCAAACCCAGAACTATTTAATGTTAAGGCTTCTAGGAAGATATCTGTATCAGTAGATACTAAGCATACATCTACAGTATTCATGCCAGTTGAAAGCAAAGCAGACGAGAGCAGTAGAATATTTGGAGGGGGGGAGTACCTTGTAGCATTCTCTAATACTGTTCTTGTAAGAAAGCCCATCCACATACCATCTCTTCTACCAAGAAACCATTCGAAGATTCCTGCAAAATATCACTGTTTACAATAATTTGTTTTCAGAAGGTTCACGCATGCTATTCTAACTTTCACAGCCTTTAAAATGAACTGTGTTTTATCTTGCTGATCTGGAATCTTTTCACCATTTGTGTGCCTGCTCATGAAGATAACTGGTATGCCCAAGGTCTGGAAAACTTGTACAGAAATAAAGAAAGAAATGAGCATTACTCACCAACATAACCACCATCAAGACTGAAACGCTCATTCATTGTCAGAGTGAACAAGTCCTGAAAAGCATTAAACAAGTCAACCTTCATCCATCGCCAGCCCATTAATACCAGTAATAAACAAGAGGCAGCATTGCAATTTACACGCCAATTGAGCTTCTTGTTCGTTAGACTCTTCCCCTTGGAGTAATGGGCTGCAAGATCATGCCCATGCAGAGAAGAACCTGATTTATCACTACCTGAGTAAGTAGAAATGATAATTCATAGTCTTCTGCCCTGGCATAGCAATCCAGCAAACCATACTTTTATGCTAAGCAAGTCGAGCCTGTGGCCTTTTTTCTCTTGGTCCTCATTGCATCACTGAATACCAGTTTTCCTTCCCGTGCTGTATGTAATCTTCTCAGACCTCTGAATACTGTTCTAGTTTGAAGGCAGGTTTTTAAGTCCCAGTGCTAAGTACACCCTGGTATGTTATTGCTGTTCACATGGGCATGCAGCTGTACACAATTCAATTCATGCTACTTGCCACATGCTATTCAAACTCAAATCCCAGTCTTCTCCAACTAGTGTTTCTTTCAGAGGAAAGTGGAATTCAGCTACACTGCATCACTTTCAGAATGGACTCTTCCCAATTTATTTGACCAGAAGACAAAAATAAATGGATACAATGCAGGGATTTATGCCAGAAATGCTCCACTGTGAAAAGGGCCACCTATAATAGAGGATAAAGGCAGAGCATGTAGAAAAGGAGGAGTTGTAGTAAGCTGGAGACCCTGGTATAGTTCTGTACTGCTGGTTTTTAAGATGTAGATAAAACCCAGATTTCAGGTGCCTACTAAAAAAAAAAAAAGAAAAATCCTGCAATGTAGGACTCCTTTTCCAAGGAGCACTGGCGAAAGAATTAAAATAGCACAAGTATGCTGTTTCACCTCTGGGATAACAGCAGGATTTGTTTGCTAGCAAGAAACTCCAGCCTTGAGTACTTTGTATTCACTCCTGTTCGTATTTGGAGTTCAACATTGTTTTTAAGAACTGTCCAAACATAAATATTTCATTTAGGCAATCTCCTTTTACAAGGAAGAGTGTGCAGCATTGTTTTCTTTTACCTTTCTTCAAATAGCTATACTCTGTACCGGAACAATTAAGAGATCATTTATTACAAAACGTCCCAAGGCAGAGGATGAAAGGAAAATTTGCATCTTAAAGGAAAGTCTGAAGCATTATTAACAAATTGACAAGCCCCCCCTCCCCATACTTACCGGTTTGACTCCAGACACCATGCCTATGTATCCTGCAAAATTTGTAGACCTGAATACTGTTTTGTTGTTTCTCTGGAAGTCCAAGTTTACCACTATAGGCTTCAGTTCCCGAGTTAAAGTCCAGGAATTATTTTTAACATCCCACCTGCAGAAGACAGTTCAGCATTTGAAACTTCCCTCCCTCAGTAGCTTGTAAAACTTCCCTTCACAGCACACAGATTTCCTGTGCGTGATGCCTGCCCTCTGATCTTACCCATGTCAGCCAGCCCCACGGCTCAGTAGTTACCTGAGCAGCACCAGCAAGGGACAACTAGGAAGTCTAAACACATAGGCAGTCCGTGAAAAGAACCAAGTTTTGTTCGAACCAAGACCATATACACTGTGCGGTATTAAGGAGCACCACCACTACAGCTGGTTTGTTTTGAACACACGTAACTTGGTTCAATTCATGCTGGCAAAGGGCGCCTGTGACACCAAACCTACTGTATCCTGAAAGCATGTGTACCTTGTTCTGCAGCAGAAAGAGCTGGTTCCCTCAAATTCTTACTTTTCAAAGGGAGAAAACAAACCATCATAGTACTGGATTTGCTCTACAGGAAGGGAAATCCCAATTCTAGTTTGTAAGATAAGCCAGAACAGTTTGTAGGCAATAGGGTGCTAAAGAACACTTAGTAGACCATTAAATTCTCTGGAAACAATCCAGGTTCTGGGAACAGCTTTGAAAGTTGCCTTAATTTTCAGGCAGCATGTTCCAGGTATTTCTGACAAGTGGGAGACATTCAATGCAAGCCAAACCAAGGGACAGGCAGAGTCACAGTTGACAACATTTGAGTGTTTCATAGGCAGGTAAGAATTTTAACGAAGATGGACATTTAAATTCCATCTGGGCATTGAGAGTCATCTGGATGAGTGATATTACAAAATGTACTGGGATAATAAAAGCAAGCACTGAACTACCTGATCACAAGGTGCGAAATGAGAACTGGAAGAGAATCCAGTGCTGGGCAACAAACTACAGAGTTTGTATCCAAAGGAATGATAATGTTACATCAGTGGAATACAAATCACTGGCTTCTGAGTAGAAATGATGAATGATGGCAAGTGCCAGTAAAGCACAGTACAGTACCTAGGGGGATAATTTGGGAAAAAAACAACGAAAAAACCAAGCCCAAATCCAATCCACATTTCACTGCATACACTAAAATTGATGATTTTGTCCCATCACGTAAAGAACAAGATATACCGTGACTCAGAGATAAGGTTACATGGACTGTTCTTTGGTTCGAGACTGTTTGAACTAGAGCTGAGAATACACTAAGTAACACTAAACACAACCGTTTTACAAAGTCATTCCTGACAAGCTTGGAGTAGTTTGACATAAGGTCAGCAGAACAATCCTTTTGTACGTTTTAGCTTTTTCTCACAACATGCGACGTAGAATTACTTGTCACAGTCTTAACAACATCCAATTCATCATTTAGACTCAAAGAAAGCGTGTAGAAATTTCAGGTTCAGCTAGCTTTTTCTTTCAGTTAAAAAAAAAAAAAATTAAAAGGCACAAGTTTAGGTACTTACCCAAGAAAGAGTCCAAAATCCAAGTTTCTGGCATGGTACAGCTTCCCTACATAACAATAAATAAATAAATAAATAAATTTTTCTAAAGAGAGAGACATAAATTTCAGCTTAGAAAACCAGGAAATGAGTAAGCAGGAGAAATACCATCACCTAGTTGCCCTTTTCATAAGCACAGAAAAATGGTGGGGTTTTTTTTGGATCAGGTAAGTGTTTTGCCATAATTGAAATCAAGTAATCTTGTAAACTGTCCATCTCAGCCACAGGTGCTTTCCACATTATCTTAATGCAATGGTAATACCCTGAGCTCCTCTAAAAGTGAGATGTTTGTAAGCCCTCTGAGAATCCCTCAGAAATTTCCTAAGCTGGAACAGGTGCAGACAAGGGCTGCAGAACTGAGTAAGAGAATGAAAAGTGTCTCTTTTCTTAAAACAGACTATCCATTTTCTCTAGTACCATACATATGAAATAGCTAGAAACTAGATGCAAAACGGATTGCACTGGAATCCCTCATGGCACTGAGAAAGTATCAGGTGTCTGGCTGTGTTTCTTTCCTCTAGAAAAACAACTGCCACCTATTAAAAAAAAAAACCCCAAACCCAACCACAAAAACCCCCAACAAAACCAAAACCAAACCATCTTTGAAAGTAGTTTTTCCTATTTTTTTTTTTAAACTAAGACACCTGTAATCTCTTAACTCCCTTCTCAAGTAATACCTTTTTATTGTAATTGCTTTTAGTCTCTTCTGCTAGACCTTCTTGCCTGCAGTTGAGGACTACGTTTGTGTAACTGAGGTGGACCCTCTCCTAAATAAGAGAAAACTGCTAAGAGTATTCTGGGTTGCATTACCTGTTTTATCTTCCGCCACTATTGATGTACATACAGTAAAAATTTCATAAAAGATGTTAAAAATAACAATCTCCCCTAGAACAAAAAGAAACAAAGTTCAATAGTTTGAAAATTTTGCCATGAACAGAAAAAAATGGTTAGAAAAAAACATACTGCAAAGTTCAGCATTCTATAATATTTCTCTTAAGAATTTCTGTTTAAATCTCATTTGAACTTTGAAATGACTGGTTCAGCAAAATCAAGAGCTGCTTCTTCTGCCTGACCATACAGAAAGCTGACAGTCATTTCTGCTTCCTCCTCTGGAAACTTCACAAGAAGCTGTAAGATTCATTTTAAAGCACAAAGTGGCTATATGTACCACTATTCCCATATAAGAGCTGCTGACTAGCACCAGGCGTACTGCTCCTGTACGAGGGAAGCAGTGGAAGCAGGTCTATGGACCTTCTCTGCCTCAATTCTGGAGGAATTCAGTGTCTACTTCTCACCTAGAATTGCATTCTTTTGCAGGAGGTGCGGAAGGCAGGCGGGACGATGTGACAAGGATCACAAAGGAAAGAAAGCACAGCATGAAACTGAGCCTTGCCTTCTTGGTATGTCAACAGCAGACCCACAGCTGAGCGGGAAATCAGTGACAATCAAGGATTCCCACAAATTTTGGTGCAAAACTCAGGAGTGAGAAGCTACAGCTCTACAGAGAAATCCCAGCCTGATAAAAAGTTTATGTGATTTATTGCCATTCTGCTCTGAAATACTGTTTTCATTTAGTGTGAGATGCAATCTATTGCTTCATCTGCTTAATTAATAGTTTATTTGTTAAAGTCACAGATGACTACAACTATACTGCAGATTGGTACACATAGTAATTTTAAATGAGTCTGGATTCCTAGTTTTCCACTATGTTAATAAAGTGTTGGGAACTATTACCCAAAGGAATCCCAGATGAATTTGCAATCCCTTGGAGTTCTTCATTGAAAGGATAAGGAAGTGTAGCAGTCAGACGAGCCTGAAAGGAGAAGTTTTGTATGTTGTTTGTGTAAATTAATGCTATTTTGTGACTTAAAACAAACCTCTCCCTGATAGGTACATCCTTCTCACAGCTATTAAATTGAGTATTTAATCCCTCTGCAGCCTGCAGAACTTGAGGATGTTTGTAGAGTACTTGGAAGACAAGTACATACTTAGGGAAAGGAAAAACTATTACTTATCAAAATATTGACATGTGAGCAGTGGAGATTAGCAAAGCATCTTAATTATCATTAGCAGCAACAGTCAGAACAGAGTAAAGTAGGACTCTTATACGTTAAGAGCTCAACTGGAACTGGGCTTAACGTCAGTGTTTAAGGGAATCCCTAACTTCCACACATTGGTATGACTACCTGTATATGCTACCTTTATGTCAACCCCACTCAGGCACACAGGGATACAAATGAAGTGTGGCCACCATGACCTAAGGCTGCTGTAAATGAAGATGGGGGACAGATTTGACCTTATGCTTTCTCTAGTGCTACACTGTTTTCCCCTGTCCTGAGTTTATGCTGAAGCCTATTTTAATCAGAATCAAATTATTTTTTGAGATGAGGCCTGGTCAAAGTTGCCCCTGTAATCAGACATTTATTCCAGTTTTCAAACCTAATTTTATTCTACTTTTTAAAAGGAGTTGGAACATGGCAAAGAGAATTCCAGTCACTGTAGCAAAACACTTCACTAAGTCAGTAGCATCTCTGTCTAGCATGACTAATCCAAACTTGAGAAGATCTTAGAAAAAAATTAGAGGAGGAAGAGATGCATGCATTTGAGGTTTGATGGTTTCAGAGTAATTCAGAGTAGGCAACAAGGCAAAATTTCACCAAGAAGGCAAAATTTCAGAGTAACTCTTCAAAACGGCATTTTTGTTTTGGAAGTGGAAGAATTATCACTTGTAAAGTTCTTAACTGCCAAATTTAGTAGCATTCTAATTCTGGTAGTCAGAGCATACAGTAATAAAATAATTAAGCTGAAAATACTTACTATTTTGTTATCCACTATGTCAACAACTTTGCCACTGGGGAAGAAGGTATTTGCTATATCTTTAATATTCTGGACCACCGTCTTCAGCTAAAAAGATCAAGGGCTTTTATTGAATAGAAGATCTTGAGCATAAGAATTGTTAGAATACTAACAGAACTCCTTCACATAGTTTTAAAAAAAATATTTTGTTGAAAAAAATACATACTTAAAGTGCTAAATGTGGTATTCTTGGTGAGAAAAACTCCTCCAACTCCCCATTAGAGAGTCACTCTTCAAGCTTTATTCAAATAACTTTCTAGATTAGCTCTGACATGTCCCTCTACCAGAGAAAATGACTTACAGCAAAAAGTCATCCTCATCTTCTGCTCTTTTGATCACATTTTAATACTCTGCATTCTTCTATCTTTAAAAATGTTAATAAAAAGCTCTTTGCTTAAGCACTGATGTTCTTGAAGCCAAAAAGACTCAATAAATTTCTTCTAAAAGTACATGCTTTCCATTTGCAACATGCGAATGGCCACAAGTAAGAGTTCCACTCTATGTGATCTAACTCCAAAGTATGAGAGATAAAACCTTTCAGAATTTAAGGTGCAACCTGAAGCTTCCAACGCCCACTGGCTTAAATGAGACTTTAAAAATAAGTATTACGGTGTAAGTAGAATTTGTTTGGCTTTGAGAGTTGAAAGGTCAAAGTCAGCAGGGATATACCAAAAACCTGTGGCCTTTTTTGAGAAATTAAGCATTACTGAACTGAATTTTCAGCAACCTTCAGAAGAACAGCTAAGTAGTTTGAAACAGGCTCGAGTATTTTTAAAGTTACTTCTGCCATGTAAACACCAGTGCTGCAACCAGCATCCGTGAAAAGGGCAGGAAGTTCTTCATTTCCCCCTCGCCATTTCATCATCTCATGCAGTGTTTTGAGAGAAGCAGGGATGCGCAGAGGAGAAGGGATGCTGCCACAGCGTCACTGCAGTTTACTGAGGCTGCCCCTTTGGTGTACTCCTCCCACTTCATTCTGTATTACTTCATGACTAAAGAGCTTTGATTAATGAAAGCCTTCCTTATGCCACACTGGTTTTTATTGCTCTATATCCCAAACATCAGTGCCCCTATACTTGATGCTGCTAGCTCAAGTGTTGAACAGAAAAAAGTTTTATTCAAGCAAATCATATTAAAAAGTCAACTAGAAATATTATCCCTTTCGGAGAATTTTAGCACAGGTATTCCTTTCCAAACCTTTTTTCAAAATAAAAGGCCACGTGCTAGTTTTATACCTAAGTTTTATAGTTTTATAGCTAAGGTTCAAAGCAAGCTCTGCATTTCATACCTCTGTCTTTTTGTCGTGCATCAAGTCATCCCATCTTTTGCTGGGAGGTAAATCAAGATTTATGACATATGTAGGTATGTTCCCTTTGAACCTGAAAGGTAAGTACCAGAGTTCAAATTTAAAGAAGGCTTTGAAAAAACATTTGACAAAATAGGTGCTTCCCACCTGTAACTAACATATTCTAGATCTGCAACAGGAACAAGTTACAAAAAAAGCCCTGTTCAGACTTGCAAATCACTACTTTTCTGTAATTTGTTAGACAAGTTGAATCAGATTACTTACGTTGGTCCTGAAGGAGGGTATGTTTTACTCCTGCACTCTTCTCCATACTGTAAAGACAGTGAAATGTTACTATTTAACTTCTTTGTTAAAACACTGTATTATTCTAGCAGACTTAGTTTTGAATTAAACCTTTAGGACTAGTCAGCTAATTCAATTCATGATGATTTCATAATAAAGGAAGAGAATGTCTTGGGATTTTGGAAAGGGTGCAGAGAATACCTAGTGTTAAGCTTCATTGTGTAGCTGGGGCAGAAAAAGCACGCTGAACTTTGGGCAAATTACTCAGCCAGAGGAATGAGCTATATGGCATGATTTTTTATTTAGTGTGGAAGAGTGCTGCTGAACTGGTGCTAAATATTATGAGAGGTGCATTTCAGGCATATAACTAAAAACTAGTTACCTCCATTCCTGTAAGCATGGCTACTTACAAATGAAAGCCTGAGAACTATATTTAGGCACACTCAAAATGAATGCAAGGGTGTTTTCTGATCAATTACATAAAGCATGCATATACATACACAAACATATGCATATACATGCCACAATTATAATTGCATGTTTTACCCAGTGAAATACAAGCAAATGCCTACTAGCCACACTTGCGCTTCAAGCCAGGTGAGAGCAGACCAGATTTGGTCCCGAGCTATCTGAGCAGATCAGTAAGCTCCTAAGAGCACAGTACGTCCCACTAGGAAAAAGGAAAGGTACACATGCTATTCTGGGAGTCCATACAGAGGCTCCCAAAGCACAAGTGTTCAGGAGACAGAACAGAAACAAAACTATGTAGGGATCCTTCCACCACTTCCCCCCCTCCCTGCCCTCAATTGCCAATATTTACTTCGCTGTGCTAATTAGATTACTTTTCTAGTGTGTCCCTGTAATGCATTCTGGCTCCAGTGAAAACTGAGACAAGATTTCTAGCAGCTACGTATCTGGGACAAACAAGCTAACTGATGTCCATGTTCTCTTTGGGCTAATCACATTATCTGTTGTTAATGCACTAATCTAGAAAACACGATGTCTTACACAGTGCTACGGACTTTAAACACCGGCATAATCTGTTACAACTGGAAAGAGGAATTTTAAAGTGGGACTGGTTTCTGTGCATTATCATGTGTTTCCAGTAGCTGGAAGAAAGCATGAGATGAATTTTGGTTTTCCTACATGCCAGATGAAGGTATAGGACCAGCAGCTATCTGTTTCCTAGATTTCATTGCAGTGCAGTTATAGCCTTCGCATAGCTGGAACAGAAGGTCAAACACAAGAGGCCATTTAATTTTCAAAATGAGGACGTTTCAAAACAGGGAGGGTAGGGGAGGATATCAGATGACTAATTGGGCAACAGAAGTCAGAGGCTTCGTGCAAAGCCAAGCAAACACTTAACAGTATTAATGCAATTGTCTTGTGAAATTTTCCATCCTTCAACACTAAAATCAATCAGGAAAAGGAACATTACGTATACATCCTACTGCAATGGATGCACAGTTTGGACCTTCAGGAAATATCTGCTGTCAAAATACGCTTCTTGACACATAAAGCCTGTAACAAAAAATTATCCGAAATGGATGAAAGTTCAGTTGAGCTGTCAGTATAGCCAATGCATACACAGAGGAAACAGTGGCGACCATGCAAACTGATTTCAGAGGATTTTAAGTGATGTTCCAGGTGCTAAATGTTATGTCACTCCTGACGCTCTCTCCTGAGATTTTAATCTTGTATCTGAATCTATTTTTATCTTCCCAGGCCGTTGCAACTTAAGCCACAAAAGAGGTGGGGAAAGCAACAGTTAAAGGAAGAGTTAAGGGAGAGATACAGAGAAAGTATTCCCTCCTTACATGTCAGTAATTTTAGACTGCTCACCTGTCTATGTATGAAGCAAGCTAAAGAAACCAATAATCCCCAAAACAACCCATACATCTTCCAAAACTGCTAGCATTGATTGAGATATCTGAGGAAAGCCAAGATTATTAACGGTTTCTTTAGGTAAAGTATTAAATGCTGGCACATAACCAGTAATTTAAAAAGATGTCAAGACAACCAGAAAACTAGAAGTGTTTTGGTGGGGTTTTTTTTTTTCCACACAAAGTTCTAAGGAGGAACAAAAAAATTGTTACCTTTTGCAATCAGCTAGAGACTAACTGCAAACTGTTCTGACAAGGTAAAAAGAAAAAAGGACACCTAAAGAATTTTCTTACGGCATCAGAAAAAACATCAGGCACTTTCTATCACCAGACTGAAATAAGCAGCTATGAAGTTACTGCTGTGGTCAGGGAGATCATCCCATCCCCTCTGCGGAGGCTTGACACTGGAATAGGAGCAATAAATGCTGTCTGAGAGAAGCAGGAGCAGCCTTCCAGCATGAGAGGATCGCCCCGAGTTTCCAACATGACAAGCCAGAGGTGGTCTCCTAGAAAGAGCCAGCAGAAGCTGGCTCCAAACAGGAGGCCATCACTATAAATTTGCTTTTCAAACATGCACTGAATCCCCTAGGAGGAATACAGCTATTCTTGAATGGTGATTAAAGGCACTTTTTTTTTTTTTAAATCGCCTGTTACTAGTAGGTTGCATATTTTGATTATCTGATGTACTGCTGACTTTCGAATTTGCATGTATGTAATAATACAAAAATGGATGCATGGCAGCACAGGATCAAAACACTAGAAGAAAGAGAACACAGTGGAGGAGAAAAAGAACATGGTATGGGGAAAGATGGAAATAATAAGAAAAAATGGAAGTAGCACAGAATATTTATATTATGACTGATTGTATGAAAAAAAAAGTAGAGCAGAACAGGAACCAAACAGTTAGCAAACTGTCAAGATTAATTGCTACCTGGAAAAAAAAAATCAAGTAATAACAGTTATTATTCACTACAGTAAAGAAAATTAATGCATGGTTTAATGACTGCTGAGTAAGTATTTTAAAACCTAGCCTGACTTCATTAATATGAAATAGGCCGAACGTAGCTTGTCCAGTCAAAAGAATGGCAATTTATTACCCTCAAAAGTATTTTTGAGGTGGACCATCTCTGGCATCCTTCCCTAATATTCAGTGTTTCTCATCTTCATATTTAAAAATAAATATAAAATGACCTCTTTGAGCTATGAAATACCATTCCATAGTTTAAGGACATGGCATTCAATCTCCTTCAGACAAAGTCATCTGTTACATAGAGCATCTTTTGGCCTATGAACTCTGCGGTCTATCACACTTTTCTCTCTGCCCCTCTTCCCTTTGGGGATGATGCCAATGCAGCACTGTCGTGCTGCAGCAGTCCCAATGCTGTTCACCTCCCTGAACATGGAAGTTAAGAGTCCTCTTGCAGCGCTGAAGAAATGGGGACCAAGCCAGTTTAAACTGCAGTTTGGACAAAAGGTTCAGTATGGTTGAAGGGGCCTAACCGAAAGCTAAAGGGACTGACAGTCTGCACCACTGAGATGGAATTCATGGCATTTAGCTTCCATGTTCTTTGTTAGTGAAAAGAACCCAACCAGCTGTACGTAGGAAGAGAACAATCGTCGTTCATTCTTCAGCAAATGACGCATCCCAGCATCTCAGCCGAAAATAAAATATCCAAGCCTGGTATCTGGCTGCACAGCAGCACAACCTGCAACCTGGACACCCAGGGGATATTATGCAAGTGCGAAGACGTACCAAGTGCAATCAAATGCAAATTCAAGCTCTAATGATAGATTTTGCTGATAGCTGGCACTTTCTCCCCCACGCCACACCCCAGAAAGCTTTTGGCTAAAATTCTGAAGGTGTTTTAAGCTGGAGCCGGCTTACAGTATTGGGAAGCTGCTCTTGGGGCGGGGATGGGATTGCGTGAAGAGAAGAGCGCCTAATTCTGTGTATTAAGGATGCTAAGGGAACATGGGTCATCCAGATGTCCACGCTCCTCCAAAGCCTTTCCTGCCTTTCTCCCCTCTCCCAAAACCCATACTCATTTTACTGAATTGAATATAATTTGCTAGGAAAAGTCTCAGAGCAAACATAAAAGGACACAGCAAGTAGCATGTTCCCAAAATACTTAAAAATATATTGCAAAAGAGTATTTTGAAATCCAGAGATATTTGAAAACCTCTCCTCTTCACAGAGGATGAGGAGATTCAGAAAGCGATGAGATGAAAAAGTGCTTCGCTGCTTCAGGAATAAAAAAAATACATCAGGAAGCAAGAGCAGCTGTTTACATGCCCAGGAAACGCAAGCCAGCCTGTTCCAAGTAACTCCTCCCCCCACCCCAGGACTCCACAATTTTCACCAGAAGTCGAATACTTCGCCTACTCAGTTAAAATAAACAAAAAATGACACGGCCAAGCCCACCTGCTCTATGCTCTTCCCCGTGGGTGAAGCTAATAGCAAATACACTAAGCAGACTCAAGAGCGTATGTGCTTTTAGCAAGCCCTTCTCAGCTTTCCTTGTGAAAATCATTGCTTTGCTGTAACACGACAATATTTACATCCCCTCACACCCCCCCCGGTCC